ATAGGTCATTATTTTAAAGTATTTCTTTGTGCTTTAGGAGCTCAAAATCCAACCATTTAAACTGGTTTTCGGTATTTGTGCCACTTAGGCACCATTGCAAAATATTGCCCATAATGACAGCGTCTTGTGTCATGCAGAATTTTTAACTCATTGCTCTATATCTTTTCACTTATTGGCCAGTTACCTTTTGCCCTTCTACTTTCTCCCTCTGTGTAGGCTTCACTTTGGGTTCAATTCCTCTCTTTGCTAAACTAAGCTTTTGCTGAAAAGAAGCATGCAAAATAGTGACCAATGTCTAACTTATACACATGCTAATTATGTAGTAAATGTCTTTGTGCGTGACTTGCGTATGAAGGTATTACTGCATATCTGGACAGGCCTGGAAATTGTCTCACACAGCAAAGAAAAAAAATATTTGTCTAGCTATAAAATACATCAGCCCTACACACTGAGGATTATGGTACACAAATAAGTAGTACCCGTCTCCTTGGAAGCATAAAAAGAAATCTATGTCGGAGCTTTAAATGGGCCTGGCACAGATCTAATAATAATGTCTAAATGCCTGCTGCTGGTAAAGAAGGGACGACCAGCACCAGGATCAACTGCTTCAGCCCTTCACTGCTACTGACTTTATAAAAAAATGGGAAACTTTCTCAAATTACCTATTGTATGTTTTTTCCCTCTAAATTACTGTTTGAATTAGACAAAATTGTAATGAGTAGCAGATAAAAAAAGAAACTGTTAACAAAAGCAACATTCCCAAACTACTAGGTCATCTTATTTTTTTTAAGAAAGAATGAAAAACATTTTTCATTCTTTAGACATTTCACTAACTGATCTTGAAAGAAAACAAAGGAGAAAGGGGGAAAGGAGGAAGAGAGGGAAGGGGAGGAAATGGAGGTTAATGTCTTGGCTATCGAGAAACAAAAATTAACTCATTACATAATCAAGAAAGCATCAATAGAAGAATTATTGGTGGCAATTATTAAATATCATTATAAACTCCAGACAAAATTCAATGGCAGAGGGTCTGCATTCAGTGGTGCATGTTGCTGTTCTGATATATGCACCAATACTGTAATGGTGATATTCTCTTGTAAGAAAGAAAATGCAAATATTTAAATGGTCTAAATTTTACAGAAACTTGCAAATTATGCATCAAAGGTTTCAAAATATTTTGACTGTAAAAAAAAAAACCCTCATCACTTTGGGTTGACCAGATATAGAAAGGCTACCATTTCTAGAACTGTTCTTTCTAGAACAATGTAAACTATAACAAAGCTTGAGCTGATGCAAAGCTTTTCATTTGTTTACAGTTTATGATTTCTCCCTTTCTACCAGATAAATTTCAAATAAACTCTCTCTTAAACACACATATCAAAAGATTTTATTTCTCAATAACCAAAATAAAGTTTCAGTAAATCTGCAATAAAAGATTATGTTATTGCAGTTTTTAATTCAGTCTGATCTCAATTTGTAACTGCTCTTAACTCCCCAGATGCATTTTCAGCTAATGAACTTTTTTTTTGAGAAATGTCACACACCTCTAGACTTGTCAATTGCAATTTAGAGATAAATTAAATCAAATATTTTACAGACAGAATTGAATATGATTACCCTCTATCACCATCTCAAAATAATGTTGTCAGGGAAAGTTTCAAAACAGAGTGCTGAATTAAACCAGTGTAACTCAGAAAATATTATCTTGAAATAAAAAAAACCCAAACTAATAACTCAGATTAGTATTATGAGATCAGCATTTCACTTCAGATGCTTCCAACATTTGCAGGTTTCACTGTACATTTATTGCACCTGTATGTTAGATGCTTAATTTGACAGCCTTTTAAAAAGCCATCAGTAATCTAAGCTCTCGGCTCCTTAGTCCAGAACTGGTCAGCCATCACAAATACTCAGTCAAATGCCTTACTAAATCTGCTGCGTATTTCCTGAGGCTTCAAACAAGAGTGGAAGGGTAAGGACTAGAAAGTGCTATTCAAGGTCAGGCATTCTTCCCTCAGTTACAACTGTCCAAGTAACTAAGTACACACACCCCCCCGCCAATGCCCTAGAGAAATTCAGTGTATTCCTAAAGACCTGACTTTAAAAGGTAAGCCAATTTAACAGCCAACTAAAGCATTTCTATATGGTTATGAAGCAATCTACAAAATGTATGATAGGAATAAGATTTTCTATTACATTCTGCAGTATGGCCTGAAAACTTTACCAAAAAAAGTAATCCTCTCTTATAAAATTCCCCAGAAGCTCTCCATAAAAGAGAGCAAAACCTCTGAGAACAGCATGATCAGAGAGGTAAAAACATGCTTCTCCCCACTAAATCTCCTGCCAGTTCCCCCCTACAGCAGAGTAATGGGCATAACTGCCTGTCTCTGCTTCGCATACTCAAATTTGAGGCCAGAGACAGAACTGTTAGTGCCATTTCTCTGGGGTCTGTCCTTCCAAGCCATAATCCTCATGCATGCTCAGTGTTAATGCTGGTTAAACCTCAGAAGTTTTAGAAATGCCCTTCACATAAGTATTCAAGAATGCAAAGGCTTATCTGAACAATAGCCAAATGCATCTTGGTCTAGATACCGCAGGATTTGGCCAGGGTGGAAATACTGTGGGAGTAATCTCTTGGATACTATTCCAGTGCTTTTGTTTGGGGAAGAAACCAAGAAAAAGCAGAAGTTCAGGGAGTATTTCCAGATCCCATTTGTAATCAGAACTATGATACCTGTCATATATCAATTATTTCTCACTAATCACTGTCTGTTCTTTTCTAAAGAAATTAAAGTTCACAGGAATAATTGTAGGAAGGATACTCGAATGCTGGTATGCAGAGAACAACTGAATGGTACATCATGGTTAGAGTAAGTTCATTAAAGGACAAAGAGTTAGAAAAACACTATTGCATATAAAATATAAGAGTAATTACACAGAAGGATTTTACATTGGAAATAAGAAAATTAACAATGGTGGGGAAGAAATTCAATAAATGAGTGACTCTGAAAGAGAACATGCATTCTTGTCTTTGATGCTTTCAGTAGTACATGTCCAATGTGCAGCAAAGTATTAAGCAGATGTTGGTAAACAGAGAAAATCTACCAAAACAGAGCACATTCCTAGCCTGAAATATTTCTGAGTTTGTATCTTCACAGTCTTTCCATGTTTGTAGATTATACCAGGACAACAGCTCTGTAGGCTGACTGCGAACAACAATAAGGATGTCTCCCAGCACTGAAAATTAGTTACTAAATGTTGATACTATAAACACACCAACCACACCCTGTCTCTAAGTCACCGGGATATCACTGTGCTTAATATGTGCCACTCCACTAGCAGCAAATGAACTACGTACAAAGTTATAAGCTGATGCCCTGAGGCCATAGGCATAATGGTGGCTTGTTGGCTTTAACTTTATATTCTCTTGTTTATTGATTTGAACTGATGGAAGTATAGAACAGTGGAGATAATAGCTATGATGGCGTTTACTATTTAAACAGGGATTTAGAGGTCTTTAAAATATGGATTGTTGACCTTATTGAGGGTTTATTATTGTCTCCTATATATAGACCTTTGTTTTTCAAGCTCTACCACTTGATGTACTTCTTGGGCATTTGTTCCTCAGTAGATCCTTAACATGACAAACCATAATGGCTCCTAAGAAGACATCTTCATTTTTTGAGACATATGACATAAGAGACTGCAATGAACCTTTGGAGACTTCTGCAGTATCTTGTAGCAAATGTGGCTGCCACATTTGTGGGCACTTTCAGCCCACAAAGCTAAAACCATTTTGGAGCATTGCTGTTGGAAAAGTGTACAATAACCCCCTTGCTGGACAGAGACATTTCCATGCTTTCAAGAGGTCTTTCTGTTTGTTATAGGAGCTCGCCAATCATGCTAGAGTATATATGTCATAAGCTAATGGTCTGAAAAGTATCAACTAGCAAAATCGAGTAGTTACAAAAAAGCAGAAACCCTCTAGAAACGTGTAACTTAGAAATACCAAATAGTTTTCTTGTTTGCTTTCAAAAATTTAAGTAAATATAGCAAAATCCACCAAAAAACAAAAAAAAAAAGAACCCCCCCTTGTATTCTAGTGGGTCACAATTGAGCAACACACTTTTTTTTTCCTCTAAGTCTAAATCATAAACACAAAGAATAGGTGTTTAGGATAGAAATACTTGTAAGTCCTTCAGCCTTCGTAGCTGTAATCATACATAAGAAGGTACTATGACCAGATCTACCTCATTTATTCAAGTGTCTTCATCCTATAATAACATTCAAGAAAAGTAAACAAACTCTTCAAGAGTCAGATAAATTCCTTTCTTATTTCACCCACATTTGGGGTCACTTCATGTACAAGTACACGGAAAGGAAACTCCAGTAACAGACTATTTGCAGCAGAGCCGAGAGCAATCCTTAATTACTATTTTTTTTAACTTTCTACACATGATGGAGCTGAGGCTACTGTGAACTGTTTTGTCTTAGACAGAATGAAGAGTCCAGCTCAGATAAGCTTTCGGAAAACTTTTACATGGACCATACATTTGGATGTGCAAGCGCATCTTTTCCTTTTGTAACAACCCACGTACTCCCTGATGATGTTTTATTAGCAGGAACTATATGGAGGAAATAACATTGTTGAGTTGCTTAACTGTAAATTGATTTGGGGTTTATAAAAGGTATGCCATGGGGGCTAATGGCACACCAGTAAGAGAATACTGGGCTCAGGTCCAGCTGCAGACAGAGCACTCATGGTGGGACAAGGCTGTGCACAGTTCCACACCAAGCTCTGAAATTCTCTTTTCCTGTAACTTTACACTCCACACATTATTATAAGCCTCCCTCTCCCCCCTGCTTATATACCTTTTTCTGTGTGAAACTATTGTACTTTGTGTGCAATCTAATTTCTTCGTAGCCCTGAAAGCTAGACCTCCAGGTCTGCAGCTGACTTCTGCAAAACCCCGGGAAAATAATTGCCGCGTGGCACTTACCTCTCCTTCTCTGGGCCACGGCCTTCCATTCTGTGTGTATTTGCTTTGATTCTGGCGCTTCTTTTGCCCTCCATCAGCAAATTTGCACAGCAAAGGCTCAGTGGGGGCTGTGAAGACAAGAAACCCAGTCTATATTAGCATCCCCCCCAAAGAAAGTGATTATACCAGCAACAGTAGTGCTTTGTAATACTGATCTTTTGAAGTAAAATCTTGCCTTCTGCAGATATTTTTTGCCTCTTTTAGCCTTGACTCCACTGGCAGCTGTTCTTACTAACTAAGCTTCAAAAAATATATACTGGCAGCCCTTAAAAGAATTTAGCAAATATTGTTGAAAAAATAATCAGCCTACGCAGAATGTTAAGTTGCTGTAGTGGAATAGTAGAGTCAGGCATTAGTTCCAGCTAAGTTAGACACGTATTCATGGCCAGCATTAGTGCAAGGATAAACACTGTTTTACTAAAGCAGCTTTCTGTTTTTATTGTAAAAACTTTGCAAGAATCTGTTTAAGGAATAAGTGTTCTCAGTATTTTTGCATTTCTCGGCACCCAAATGGAATATACAGAATAAACCAGAGACTTTTGCCAAGCACAGTCCAATTAGCTTTCTTTTCCTCTTAACTCCTCTTTTAAGCAAGTTGGCAGCTGAGAAAACCCCTTTCCTCTCCAGCTGAGATCTGGTGTGTGCAAACACAATAGTCAGGGGGGCCGGAGCCCAGGGAAGAAAGGATATTCATGGAGCTGCACACCCCAAAAGGCAGCTCACAATAGGGCCCCCTAGTGAAGAAATTACCACACATCAAATGGGTGCAACAGGAAGGGAACTTTCTGTCTCGGGACCTTTTCCCATCTACCCAGCTTTTAACAGCCTCCTAAAATATTCTTCAGCCAAAACTGTAATTAGCTTGCTGGTGGGAGCTTGCCTTTGCTGCCTCCTTCCTCAAAGAGAGGCCGAATTCTACGCACTTCATTAGGTGTATGTCAAGACTGTCCTTTACTTCCTACATCATCAGATAAGCAAACCGATATTGGCTTCGTTGAAAGAAATCTAAAAATGATGCGTCACATCTGAATTTTGTCAGGAATTTTTGGGTTCCCAAGCATGAAAAGTAAAGGCTCAAGTCAATTAACCAGGGTCTTCGACAGAAAAAGGCAAGAAACCTGTTTTTTTCTCCTCGTTTCCCATTTCTGGGAAGCTAGAAATGTTGAAAGAATAAAAGTGCAGGGACATGAAGGAACAAGAAACCTGTTTTTTTCTCCTCGTTTCCCATTTCTGGGAAGCTAGAAATGTTGAAAGAATAAAAGTGCGGATATGAAGGAAATGTTGCAGTAAGGGGGTTAGTCAAGTCATTTATTAACTATTATTAAGACTTATTTATTTGTAATAAAAATAATTATTTGGTTAAAGGATTAAATAAGTTTATATAAATTTTAAAACAAGTTCACCTCCCCCAACCTCTTAGTTACAGTCAGCTCAAAATGGGTCAGAAAGTGCAGATTAAAACTGTACCACTTCAAAACTGCAACCAAGGAGCAATGCACATAGAGAATCTCACATCAAAACCACTATTTCTCATTGGGACAACATCACTTTGGCTGCTTCTGAAGCTTTAACAGCTCTGTTTTCTCATTACCATTTTACCAGGCTAGTAATTTCCAAGGTCACTAGAAACTGAACTGCAGGGAACAATCCATTATTGGCAGAAAGCTCGACTGTGTGACCCCAGAGGTCCTTCCCCACCTCTGACTTCGATTACTGTATCAGATTTTGGTAGAAGCAATGCCTAGCCAACCATTTTAAATTTAAAATAATGAAGGTTTAAAAGCATCCAGGTGGCTGTGGAGATTCTTTCCGCAGATGGAGAGATTTTACAGGGCTGATTGCCCTGTGCTTCCACAAGTTTTACTCCACAGTGCGATGCTGCGTGATTCCAGAGCAGCTACTTAGAATTCACTTTGATGTGACTGTGAGGGAGGAGCAGGTGTTAAGCCAACATTAGAGAAAGACCTATTAAACATCACATCTGAAGCTTCAAAAGCTTTTTGTTTTAAGCACTGAAACAACTACCAAGCAACATACGATAGCACTAGGAGGAGCATGCCAAAACAATCTGCACGTTGGATATTAACACATGCCATGATCATCTGCTAATGTACACATGTGGTATTAGCCCGTATACTATGATGTGGTTGAGCAAGCTAGGAAGTCATATGGTTTACTACATATCCTCTCTATATATTAGCCAACCACAAATAGGAAGCTGTTGCTTTTCTGGGCTCCCCAGTATCCAGCATTGCCATCTGACAATCTCTTATTTATTAACTTGTGACTTCCTAAAGTTGACTGAGATTGAACAGAACTGCCAAACAACTTTACCTGCTCCCCCCTCTCCATCTAGAAAAAAAGTGAAAAACACTGTATGGACTTTTCAGGAGGTAAGGAAGAAGGTGGAAAAGGACAACAGTACCATACCCTTCACAGGCAAGTTTCTGCACAGGAGGTTATATGCCTCTACAGCCAGCTGAGGGGAATTCTGGGGAAAAGGTCAATCTGCATCGATCAACATTACCATAAGCAAAAAGATCAAAATAAAATGTTCTGACAGGAAGACAGAGTCCAGATAAGATGGGTTTGGGTTGTTTGGTTTTTTTTTTTTTGAAAAACAGGCACATAGCAGATTACATCCAGCAAGACAGAAAATTATTTTGTTAGCTCTGAAGTGGTGTAGGTCTTAATGGCTTACACCTGGAAACAACCATAGTAACCAACCTCAAAATATAAAGAAAGCAAATTAATAATCTTTCTTCTTTCAGGACACAAGGTAGCGTGTAACAGAGTCTTAGGAGTTCCAACATGTTGCTCTAAGTAAACAGAAGAACTCAAATCTCTGCTTTACTTCAGCCCTCTTGAAATCCCTTGTAAGAAAGGTTCTCTAGGCTTTGCAAGATCAGGTGCATATGAGTATTTGACATTAGTACCATCATTCTTACTAATCAAATACCTAACAACAGAAGATAAAAGAAAGAGCATAACCTATTCCACTATATCAGCAAAACTATTTCTAAGTAGAAGTCTTTGTTAATGGTTTCATGAAATGAAAGCAGTTTAAAAGTAATAAATTTACATCAGCCAAGAAAAAAATCACAATTAGGTACTATGGTTATCAATTCAAAAAGAAAATATTTAGGAACAATTCAAGTAATACCAACATTATGTGAATAATATCAAAAGATTGCAGCAGAAGTGGGACATTTTACCCCCAAATACTTCAGAAGAGGAAGAAGGAAAAAGGGGAATCTTTAAAACTTTTTCTGCTTTTGCTCTCTTCCATTCCAGAGACTCTTCAATTTATGGACTGAATTTTTACTTTTCTCCTTTTCCTCTGTATGAACATACTGACTGAAAAGAAATGCCTATGTCCCTGCCTCTTCTCTCACCTTTTGCTCTGCTGACTTAATAGAAAATTTAATTTGGATATCTACAGGTGTTCACATTTTGAACTGATAAGCACGTCTTTTTGTATGGTCCTTGACATGCTCAAAGTTTTGAGCATGTGTGGTATTTTGAAGCATATCTGGAAAACCTACTGTTGGTATTTTCCTGTCAGAAAAGTGAGAATTGATTCACCTGAGACAAATTTCAGGCCATTCCATCCTGATAAACTCTTCAAGATGGAAGGCACTGCTCTTTCTTTGACTTCTGCCTGACAGTAACAAATAGAAATATCAAGAATAAATAACAGCTTTAACCTGAACAAGGTTCATTAAGCCATAAGCCATTTCTCAAGGAAAAGATTTAAATGCTTGCTGTAGTTCCCATCCAAAGCCTGCTCTAGTTAATAAGACATAAATAGCCCTGAACTTGGCTTTCAGTCCTGAGGAGGAAGTGGGATCAAATTGATAGTGCTTCTAAACAGTGTTTGCCAAGATCTTCAGGGCTGCTTTAGGAGAGGGCAGTAGTAGCTAGTGTTCAAATTCTGTTCCCATGGAAGTCAATAGCTAAAGCCCTATCTCACCTCAATCAGGGCCTGAATTTACTCTAAGAGTTCAGTGGAGGTGAAAGAGAGTGACTGGTTTTATGTCAATCAAGTCTGTCAATATTGTTGGAGGTCCCTTAGGAGATCAGCTTCTCATGCTCTGCTACTTCAGATGGACAGACTGTGCAGACAGACAGCACTGAACTGCCAAAAAGCTGTTATATCACCAAAAGCAACACTGGTATTTAAAGTAGGACAAAACCTTTAGATGGAAGGAGATGGGGATAACAGTGTCTCCTTCTCAAATCTGGCAGCCTCTTAAAAATGTTCCATCTCAGGAAAGGAACTTCAGTTAAATTGGAGAATTAAAAAAAAATAGCAAACTTCTAACTAGTCCTGAATACGTAATTTCCTTATTCTTTCATTCATCGGAAGGCAGATACACTTGAGCTTCTACATATGCAAAAATGTATATATTCATGAGCATGTGCTTCATAAAGGAAGATGAAAGCTGTCATTTGCATTCAGTGAATCTTTTTCATTATTTCAGGTGCTCTGAAACTTTTTCTATCTTAAGAGTTACTGAGAAATGCTTGTCCTCCACAACTTCTGATTCATAGTCATATAGCATCGTCTGTCCAGCAATGGCAAGAATTACATATATAAAAAAGTAATAACAAGAACATATTTATGTATTTTAACTGCTTTCACTATGAATATTTTTGAAGACAGAGTATTTTTCAGCATGTCAGGAAGAGTTTAATCTCTTCTTCTCATCTTGTGCAAAAATAATAGTAACATTTCTGGTTGATAGCTCAGCAACAAGTGCATTGTGAACATTCATGTGGGTCTTTAAACACCTTCATTTTGTTAATGTGAAGAAAAATGATGAGAAAGTCATTGGTATATCAATGAATGGTCAGTACATAGTCAATGATCTTTTTCAAAGTGTGTTTTTATGAGAAAGATTAATTTGGTTTTCAACCTTCGCAAATCCTCCTCTGCCATAAAAATCAGAGCAGACCAATAATTGAGTTCACAATTACACCAAGCATCCAAACTGTTCAAGCTTTGATAACTATTTTTCTTCTTAACTCCCTTCCAAATTTTAAGTATTTTGATAACATTTTCATGTACAAATCACATAGAATATCTG